TATAATGGATTAATGGATAGCGGCTCGGATCGATTCCAATCGAATCCAATCGAATCCATTACGTTCATTTACGTGTTAATATCCTTGAGAAAGGTATGAATCCTCTTCTTTTCCCCCCAGCTATGGGTAAATAGCAAGACAGACTAGGTTCTATAGCTTTGGATGGCAAAAGAAGAAAATATCTGAACTCAAAACCTACGGAGAGTCGTTTGGGGACCTTGTGGCATGTAATGCACCTGTTCTCTGTATTCAGCTCTTCAAAAGGTGTGGTTAGTTCTGCACAAAGCCTTCACTACTATAATCAAATCGTATGTGCTGGTGTCTGGCTGTCGGTTACTAGGAACTGAGCTGCTTGACCCTCATGCGTCGAAAAACGACAGGAAAATCCAGTATATATATATATATATATATATATATATATGTGTGTGTGTGTGTGTGTGTGTGTGTGTGTGTGTGTGTGTGTGTGTATAAATATAATATATATATATATATATATATATATATATAATTATTTATATATTATATGCCCAGTACTTATTAAAAAGCGCTCAATATCAGAGATAGAGCTAACATATCTATCCAACATATATATATATATATATATATATATATATATATATATATATATATATATATATATATATATATATTTTGTTAAAAAAAAATGGGAACTTTTTTAACAATACAATAAAACCAAGAGTGATGGAAAAATATTTCATTCATAGTAATTGAAACCTTAAAACATGCCATTTAAGAAACAATGATGGAATTTTCATTTTTAAAACTTACATCCTGTAGATGGCGTCCTTTTGTACGAATGCATTTTTGAAATCTGCTGTTGAGATTCCTCATTGACTGCTGCAACATCTCAGCTGGGATACTGTGAATTTCATCTTGAATTCTAAATGGCGAAATGTTTACTTGCTTAAGGTCACTGTCTTGCAGTGTTGCCACTTGCTCATGTCTGGCAATACGCACTTCAAAAATTCCCGTTTCTTTGTGTCACCCTGTATATATATATATATATATATATATATATATATATATATATATATACGGCTCTCCCGTCGATTTTTATTCGACGTATGAGGGTCAAGCAGATCAGTTCCCAGGAAACCGACAGCCCGACAACGACACATGAGATTTGATTATAGTGGTGAAGGTTTCGTGCAGGGCCATCCACACTTTTTGAACGGCCGAATACAGAGACCTGGTGCACTACGTGCCACAAGGTCCCCAAACGACCTTCCGCAGGTTTTGAATTCAGAGTTGTCATTCTCCTAGACCAGTTGCCATCCAAGGCTCTAGAACCCAGTCTGTCCTGCTATTTACCCATAGCTGGAGGGAGAAGAAGAGGAATCACACCTTTCCCTTATAAATATCCAACTCTTGTAAGCTCTGAACCGTTGTATCTTAGAGACGATTAAAGATATCTTACTGGAATTCTTCGAAATTTTTATAACACTATTATACTTTTTGTACGATAAGAATGTATAATTACTCTCTAAGCTTAACAGAAGAATCGTGATAAAATCGGTCATAAACGAAAATTAATCATAGCTAAGGATCAGAAGCTCATGAATATTGAAGTAATGTTCAAATATATATATATATATTATTCCAGGCACATTTTCCAACTTATTCAAGATGATCTTCGCCCTCTTCACTCTCTTAACGTTTTGTTCTGGATTAACAAGTTACCTCACACTTTTCACATGCGATTTCATTTACAAGTTTTTTTTTTTCTGTTCTTTGGACTGTCATAGCCGAAACTTCTCTCTAACTTGCTAAACGTCCTATGGACTGGGTTAATTGTTTTCTAATTGATCTCTTTAGATCTAAGTTGAAATGATGATCCTTCTTGCTGTTGTGACCTCCTGATCCAGGTTTTCTCTCCACGGTTCCCCCTTTTTTTAAACTTTTAAACTTTTTTTAAACACCATTCTCTTGATGGTTCTCGAATGGACTTTAAGGATGGAAAACAGAGTATGAATGTTGTTACCATTACTATCTCTTCTATTGCTCAGTTGGGTAGACAGCGGGTCTGACATAAAAAAATTTGTAGCCTCCTCTTTTTTAACTGAATAACTCAATGATTCTTACGAAAAATGGTGACAAGATGGCCAAACATCTTATCTAAGAACCTGGAAAAAAATTAACTTGGTGTTTTGTTAGATATTACACATTTTGTCGGATAGACAATTATCCCATACTGTTCAACGATGTGGACATTTTTGCTGTTACACCCGTTATATATATATATATATATATGTGTGTGTGTGTGTGTGTGTGTGTGTGTGTGTGTGTGTGTAGGGTAGTAATTCGTTGGTATAGTCCAGGTGAGTCTTATTAACGCAACATAGAATTTTAAATCTGTTAAAACTGACTCGCAAAAGAGCGCTTTATGTTTATTTTCATTAAACACGGCAAAATTTTCTTTACAGTTGGAATTAAGATACCTTTTAACTAAAGGTACCTTAATTCTAATTGTAAAGTATATATATATTTACAGGGTGTCCATAAGGTTCGTGTGCACTTAAAGAAATAAGGTACCTTTAGTCAAACGGTATCTTAATTCCAATCGTAAAGAAAATTTATAACTTCATTTGTATTTGCGATAGAAATAATCTGTAAAAATGTTTTCCGTGAACTGCAAAATCGTATTACCCTTTGTATTGCTAATGATGGCGGACCTGTGGAAACTTAAATAAAATTTCAATAAAACCTTAAAAAATATAGATTTACTTCTTTCTAATCCTTTTTATAAATTATTTCTATCGCAAATACAAATAAAGTTATAATTTTTTAAAGTGCACACGAACTTTATGGACACACACACACACACACATATATATATATATATATATATATATATATATATATATATATATATATATAACATAAAACATTAGGCATATGATTTACATACAAAGAATAATCACACATAGAAGTAATCAAGTATTAATGCGATTATTGGCGACATCCATCGCCAGAAAACATAATATATGCATTAAAATCCTGTTCATCCATAGTGCGAGTTTGATCCTTGACGAAAAACTTGTTGTCTGTAGTTTTCAGTTTATTTGATGTTAAAATGTTAGTACTTACGGATAGTCTTCTATCCATCATCAGGAAAAACTTAGCGTTGCGTCTTTGCACGTTCCGAGATCTTACACAACCGTCAATAATAGCAAATATTCAAAAAACATCTTTCGGTCGACATACAGGTATATCGTCTCAAGTTTTTGATTTTATAAGGAAAAAAAACACATGCCTGATGATGGATAGAAGACTGTCCGTAAGTACTAGCATTTTAACATCAAATAAACTGAAAAACTACAGACAACAAGTTTTTCGTCAAGGATCGAAACTCGCACTATGGATGAACAGGATTTTAATGCATATATTATGTTTTCTAGCGATGGATGTCAATAATCGCATTAATGATTCTGATTATTTTTATATATATATATTATATATATATATATATATATATATATATATATATATATATATATATATTCCATGTCTCGTATAAATTAGGTGAGATTCGAAAATAAAAATCTCATCGTAGCAGAGACGCAAACTTTATTAAGGCCCAATGGTTATGAAGTCGGAAAAAATGAACTGGGCGTACCGTTTTCAAATTCCAGTTAAGGCAGTTTATGTTCAATCTATACTATTTCCATTGAGAAAGGCATTAAGGCATCTGTTCCAATCGGACAGTTTTAGAATCATTCCCACTCTCGGTAAGCAAGCAATGGAATTGGAAACCTTCTACCGAGTATTGAGAATTCTATGAACGGAGCGAGAAAGCAACGAGGAAGCCTTAAAAAATGGCAACAAAATAGAACGCTTATTGCTCAGAATCAGGGAGGTATAGCTGAAATTACCTGGACACAAAATGAGGAAGGAGAGCTCGGCAAACTTAACCCTCACAGGGCGTAATGATTGCAACAGAAACAGGGGAAGGTAGCCGGGAACTTATCTTCCGAGCTTGAGTGAACGGATGACGGCACCGTGAGAAAGAGCCTTAGCAAAGGGGAAGAACTGCTAAGGGCCTTAAGGGATGGAAAGTTGTGGAGAGCCATGATTGCTCATATCCTGAAGGGATGTGTTAAGAAGAAGAAGAAGAAGAGCAACAACAAGACAACAACAAGCAGCGGCGGCTCGGATGACAAGATCACACAGATTGAAAATCGTTTTGTCTTAACGGCTTGGTTAGATTTGTTTGTTTTCTTTTTACTAAAATATTCCCACATTAGAAGGCCCAAGCGCCACCCAAGGCAGAGGATTAATTAATTACTTAATTAGATTGTTGCATGAACGTTAAAAAAATCAAGTAAGTGTAGATTATGCGGACATATGGTAGAGTTATCAGTTGCTCCTTGATTGATGAGCTTAAGTTGTAGTGACCGGAGAAGCATACCCACGAGAGTCTGTACTCAGGAAGAAGTGATACTTCCTCCTTACTAATGGAATACGAAAGCTGACTCGACCCTGTGTACTGAGTTACTGAAGAAAAGGCACCAAAGTAAAACAATAGGCAATGCGATCTATACATTAAGGTCAAGACTTATATCTTTGCCTTTAACAATATTTTGGGGCGATTGCATCTGGAATTGAGATAATCCACAGAAAAGGGGAGGGGAGAAGCGAAGGAAGCAATTTAATTTCTAAACCATAAAGACAGAGCAAAAAGTATCTCTCCGTTGTTTAAGGATCTAGTCATTCCATCGGAAGATTATTGATTTGGAAGGTTCAATCTCAGCGGGATTTTATTGCCAAGTTAATAATCTTCAGAATACAAATGTCGCTTTTAGATATTAGTTTCATTTAGCTTAAGCTACCCTGAGGATAAGTGTAGGAAATGGAGTAGTAAGATTATGTTACGCCAAACTTCCAAGTAATGGTAGCCAGATTAACTTGCATCAGCATAGAACGAACACGGAGACAGAGAATTGAAGCAAAATAGACAACGAATTATACAAAGCATGACTCTAATAGATAGATAGATAGATAGATAGATAGATAGATAGATAGATAAAATAAAAAGACTGGTAGATAGATAGATAGATAGATAGATAGATAGATAGATAGATAACATGAAATAAAATAAAATAAAAAGACTGATAGATAGATAGATAGATAGATAGATAGATAGATAGAGATAAAATAAAATAAAAAACTGATAGATAGATAGATAGATAGATAGATAGATAGATAAAATAAAATAAAAAACTGATAGATAGAAAGATAGATAGAAGATAGAAAATAGACTGATAGATAGATAGATAGATAGATAGATAGATATGAAATAAAATAAAAAAAAGACTGATAGATAGATAGATAGATAGATAGATAGATAAAATAAAATAAAAAACTGATAGATAGATAGATAGATAGATAGATAGATAGATAGATAGATAACATGAAATAAAATAAAATAAAAAGACTGATAGATAGATAGATAGATAGATAGATAGATAACATGAAATAAAATAAAATAAAAAGACTGATAGATAGATAGATAGATAGATAGATAGATAGATAACATGAAATAAAATAAAATAAAAAGACTGATAGATAGATAGATAGATAGATAGATAACATGAAATAAAATAAAATAAAAACTGATAGAAATAGATAGATGATAGATAGACAGATAGATAGATAGATAGATAGATAGATAGATAACATGAAATAAAATAAAATAAAAAGACTGATAGATAGATAGATAGATAGATAGATAGATAACATGAAATAAAATAAAATAAAAAAAAAAGATGATAGATAGATGAATAGATAGATAACAGAAATAAAATAAAATAAAAAAAGACTGATAGATAGATAGATAGATAGATAGATAGATAACATGAAATAAAATAAAATAAAAAAATAGATAGATAGATAGATAGATAGATAAGAATGAGATAGATAGATAGATATGAAATAAAATAAAATGAAATAAAATAAAATAAAAAAAATAAAAAAACTGATAGATAGATAGATGATAGATAGATAGATAGATAGATAGATAGATAGATAGATAGAATGAATGATAGATAACATGAAATAAAATAAAATAAAAAGACTGATAGATAGATAGAGATAGATAGATAGATAAATAGATAGATAACAGAAATAAAATAAAATAAAAAAACTGATAGATAGATAGATAGATGAAAAATAAATAAAATAAAATAAAAAAAACTGATAGATAGATAAAATAGATAGATAATAAAAACATGAAATAAAATAAAATAAAAAGACTGATAGATAGATAGATAGATAGATAGATAGATAGATAGATAACATGAAATAAATAAAATAAAAAGACTGATAGAATAGATAAAATAAAATAGATAACATGAAATAAAATAAAATAAAAGAAGACAGATGATAGATAGATAGATAGATAGATAACATGAAATAAAATAAAATAAAAAGATAGATAGATAGATAGAAGATAGATAAAATAAAATGAAAAAAAATAAAATAAAAGACTGATAGATAGATAGATAGATAGATAGATAGATAGATAGAAATAAAATAAAATAAGATAGATAGATAGATAGATAACATGAAATAAAATAAAATAAAAGACTGATGATAGATAGATAGATAGATAGATAGACTGATGATAGATAGATAGATAAATGAAATAAAATAAAATAAAAATAAAAAGACTGATAGATAGATAGATAGATAATAGATAAAAATGAAATAAAATAAAAAGACTGATAGATAGATAGATAGATAGAGATAGATAACATGAAATAAAATAAAATAAAAACTAAAATGAAAAAGACTGATAGATAGATAGATAGATACATGAAATAAAATAAAATAAAAAGACTGATAGATAGATAGATAGATAGATAGATAGATGAAAGATGAATGATGATAACATGAAATAAAATAAAATAAAAACTGACTGATAGATAGATAGAAAATAAAACATGATAAAAAAAAAAAAAAAAGACTGATAGATGATAGATAGATAGATAGATAGATAGATAAAATAAATAGATAGATAGATAGATAGATAGATAATAGAGATAACATGAAATAAAAATAAAATAAAAAAATGAAAAAGATAGATAGATAGAGATGATAACATGAAATAAAATAAAATAGATAGATAGATAGATAGATAGAAATATGAAATAAAATAAAAAAAAGACTGATAGATAGATAGATAGATAGATAGATGAGAATAATAGATAGATAACATAAAATAAAATAAAATAAAAACTGATAGATAGATAGATAGATAGATAGATAGATAAGATAACATGAAATAAAATAAAATAAAAAAAGATAGATAGATAGATGATAGATAGATAGATAGATAGATAACATGAAATAAAATAAAATAAAAACTGATAGATAGATAGATAGAAATAGAAAAGATAGATAACATGAAATAAAATAAAATAAAAAAGAAGATAGATAGATAGATAGATAGATAGATAGATAGATAGATAACATGAAATAAAAATAAAATAAAAAAAGATAGATAGATAGATAGATAGATAGATAGATAAATAGACTGATAGATAGATAGATAGATAGATAGATAGATAGATAGATAATAAAATAAAATAAAAAACTGATAGATAGATAGATAGATAGATAGATAGAGATAGATAACATGAAATAAAATAAAATAAAAAGACTGATAGATAGATAGAAGATAGATAGATAACATAAAATAAAATAAAAAAAGACTGATAGATAGATGATAGATAGATAGATAGATAGATAGATAGATAACATGAAATAAAATAAATAAAAAGACTGATAGATAGATAGGATAGATGAAGATAGATAAAATAAAATAAAAAATAGAAAAGAGATGATAGATAGATAGATATGAAATAAAATAAAAAAAAAAAGATGATAGATAGATAGATAGATAGATAATAATAGATAAATATGAAATAAAATAAAAAAAAAAACTGATAGAAAGAGATAGATAGATAGATAACATGATAGATAGATAGATAGATAGATAGATAGATAACATGAAATAAAATAAAAAACTGATAGATGATAGATAGATAGATAGATAACATGAAATAAAATAAAATAAAAAGACTGATAGATGATAGATAGATAGATAGATAGATAGATAACATGAAATAAAATAAAATAAAAAACTGATAGATAGATAGATAGATAGATAGATAGATAGATAACATGAAATAAAATAAAATAAAAAGACTGATAGATAGATAGATAGATAGATAGATAGATAAAATGAAATAAAATAAAATAAAAAAAGACTGATAGATAGATAGATAGATAGACTGATAGATAGATAGATATAGATAGATAGAAGATAGATAAAACATGAAATAAAATAAAATAAAAAGACTGATAGATAGATAGATAGATAGATAGATAGATAGATAGATATGAAATAAAAATAAAATAAAAGACTGATAGATAGATAGATAGATAGATAATAGAAATAAAAATAAAATAGACTGATGAATGAATAGATAGATAGATAGATAAATAAAATAAAAAATAAAAATAGATAGAAGATAGAAGATAAAATGAAATAAAATAAAATAAAAGACTGATAGATAGATAGATAGATAGATAGATAACATGAAATAAAATAAAAAAAAAGACTGATGATAGAAAATGATAGATAGATAACATGAAATAAAAATAAAATAAAAGACTGATAGATAGATAGAAGATGATAGATAGATAGAGATAGATAGATAGATAGATAGATAACATGAAATAAAATAAAAAATAAAAAATAAAAAGATAGATAGATAGATAACATGAAATAAAATAAAAGATAGATAGATAGATAGATAGATAGATAGATAGATAAAATAAAATAAAAAAAATAAAAGAATGATAGATAGATAGATAGATAGATGAGATAGATAACATGAAATAAAATAAAATAAAAAGACTGATAGATAGATAGATAGATAGATAACATGAAATAAAATAAAATAAAAGACTATAGATAGATAGATAGATAGATAGATAGATAACATGAAATAAAATAAAATAAAAAAGATAGATAGATAGATAGATAGATAGATAGATAGATAAAATAAAATAAAATAAAAAAGACTGATAGATAGATAGATAGATAGATAGATAGATAGATAAGATGAAATAAAATAAAATAAAAAAAGACTGATAGATAGATAGATAGATAGATAGATAGATAAAATAAAATAAAAAAGATAGATAGATAGAAGATAGAAATAACATGAAAAAATAAAATAAAAAGACTGATAGATGATAGATAGATAGATAGATAGATAGATGAAATAAAAATAAAAGAGATGATAGATAGATAGATAGATAACATGAAATAAAATAAAATAAAAAAGACTGATAGATAGATAGATAGATAGATAGATAGATAGATAGATAACATGAAATAAAATAAAATAAAAGACTGAAATAAAGATAGAAATAACATGAAATAAAATAAAATAAAAAGACTGATAGATAGATAGATAGATAGATAGATAGATAGATAGATAACATGAAATAAAATAAAATAAAAAGACTGATAGATAGATAGATAGATAGATAGATAGATAACATGAAATAAAATAAAATAAAAAGACTGATAGATAGATAGATAGATAGATAGAACATGAAATAAAATAAAATAAAAAGACTGATAGATAGATGATAGATAGATAGATAGATAGATAGATAAAATGAAAAATAAAAAACATGAATAGAAACAAAAATAAAATAAAAAAAAAGACTGATAGATAGATAGATGATAGACATGAAATAAAATAAAATAAAAAGATGAAGATAGATAGATAGATAGATAGAAATAGAACATGAAATAAAATAAAATAAAAAAGACTGATAGATGATATGAATGAATAGATAACATGAAATAAAATAAAAAAAGACTGATAGATAGATAGATAGATAGATAGATAGATAGATAACATGAAATAAAATAAAAAAAAAAAGACTGATAGATAGATAGATAGATAGATAGATAGATAGATAACATGAAATAAAATAAAATAAAAGACTGATAGATAGATAGATAGATAGATAGATAAAATAAAATAAAAAAAACTGATGATAGATAGATAGATAGATAGATGAGATAAATGAAATAAAATAAAAAAAAAGACTGATAGATAGATAGATAGATAGATAGATAGATAGATAAAATAAAATAAAAGACTGATAGATAGATAGATAGATAGATAGATGAATAATAAAATAAAATAAAATAAAAGACAGATAGATGAATGATAGATAGATAGATAGATAGATAGATAACATGAAATAAAATAAAATAAAAAAAGACTGATAGATAGATAGATAGATAGAGATAGATATGATAAAATAAAATAAAAAAAAAAATAGATGAATAGATGAATAAAATAGAAAATAACATGAAATAAAAAAGATAAAAAGATAGATAGATAAATAAAATAAAATAAAAGATAGATAGATAGATAGATAGAAGATGAATAAAAAAAAAAAAAACTGAAGATAGATAGATAGATAGATATGATAATAGATAGATAACATGAAATAAAATAAAATAAAAAGACTGATAGATAGATAGATAATGAATAAAATAAATGAAATAAAATAAAATAAAAAACTGATAAAATAAAATAGATAATATGATCAATGATACACACAGATAGATAATACATAAGTAGAAAGATAATGAACAGAAAATGCAGTTATGTATCAATGTTTTAGATACTATTGTATGAATAGATAGATAGATAGATTGATAGATAGATAGATAGATAGATAAAATAAAATAAAAACGATAGATGAATGATAGATAACATGAAATAAAATAAAATAAAAGACTGATAGATAGATAGATAAATAAATTGATGATGAATAGATAACGATCAAAAGACCTGATTTTTTTAGATAAATAAAGATAAAGAAAGAAAGATAGAACCAAAGAAAGAAAAAAAAAGCACATTAATCTTCTATCTTTTCTATCCAATGCACGACAATTCCCTTTGGATTTCATGCGAGCTGAACGCGATTCAGCAAATCTTAAAGATATTATTTTCATCCGATTGACAGCATTGCAGTCTCCCCTTATTCAACCGCTCATAGCTTTTATTCCTCGTGGGAAAAAACTAAACTCCGCCTTATGAGGCCATTTTTACCAATTTTGCGCTTCAGCTACACACGAATATGTGCAATCTCAAACTCGACCGTATCAACAGGAGAAATTAAATAACAGCAAAGTTCTGTCACCATCTTTTAACATTGGTCAATTGAATCTACTAACCGTCTTTTAGAAACTGATCATATGCACGCACACACACACACATATATGATATGTATGTAGACATATATATATATATATATATATATATATATATATATATATATATATATATACATAGATAGATAGATAGATAGATAGATAGATCAAATTAATTTCTTCGTAGATTGTTTGAAAATTTAGATATTTATCAAAGCTTAACCTCCCAAATATGTACGTTAAAGTAACGCGAACTGTCAGCGTCTAAGAATTGGAATGAAACCTGTCGTAATTTATTGGGGTTGTTGGAACGTCTCCCTTTAAGGTAGTTCTTATCGCTCACCCTTAACCACCTTTATCTAGAGATGGGACGCGTTAAATTTGAGCAACATCCAGCCGACACACTGGGGTTAAAATAGGAAACTAAAATGATACATATGACACACTCATATCCTCTCTCCCACCTCACTTCCTCACTTCGTTAATTTTACGTATACTTGATGAGGTCCGTAAAAAAACGTGTGAATTTCTTCTCATTTTCATTTCAGCTTTTGGAAGTAAAGTCTGATGATCCAGAACCCTGTTAAAGGGGTTTGGTGAAATAACTTAATACATGGAATCTTAACGTGGTCTGTCTTTTATTCAAAATATATATATATATATATATATATATATATATATATATATATATATATATATATATATATAATAAATTAACTGATTTAAAATATGGTTTTATTGCTACACAGTAATAACAATGTTTCAAAAATGGAAGCTAAAAACTTAAAAGCATTAGTTCCGTTTCATCTTCAAGCGAATATTGGAATAATTTATTTTTAAATTTATTGAGTTTTAAACGCACATATAAATTCTTAATTTACTGTTTCCAAGGAAAGAGAGAAATCCAATCAATCAGACAGGGGCTGTAGCGTGTTTATTTTGATTAACTATTGTTGTATCAATTATGAGTTACGTTCGAAAAAAGAGATTAAGTCTAGGGAGGGTAGGGAGGGTGCATTTTCAACGAATTCTGACATTTCGTTAAATGCATGTCGTCTGGGTGGGAAATTGGGGGTTATGTGCTCTGTAATGCTTTTTTTATGCTCTGTAAATTTAAATTTACATTGAGTACTGTTTTGTAAAAATAAAAAGGACAAGAACACCGGATTATATATCTTACTGTTCTTTCTTTTTTATATATATATATATATATATATATATATATATATATATATATATATATATAGTGTTCAAAAATGAAAAAAAAAAACACTAGTATCTCATTTTACGAGATATATTTAGCAAAATTACACAAAAATATTTTAAAACACTAAAGAGTAAATTTATTCAATAACATCGACATTGGCTTCAACCACGACCTCCAGACGACTTCGGAATCTCCTGCAACTCTTCTGGATGTTCTCTTTGTTTAAGTTGGTGAATCCTTTCCATAATCCCTGCCTCCATTTAACAATAAAATTACAGGGAGTTTTGTTGGTCTCTCGCTCAAACGCGCGCCACTCATAATAATGAAAAGGGTCGTAGTCTGTGGAGTTAGGTAGAAACAGATAACGGGTGATTTGGTCGTAGAAATTATTTGACAGCCGTGATTGGGTTGCCCTGTTTGTATGTTTGTAGAGTCCTGTTGCCAGACTTAGGATCTTGCAGCAGACACATTATCTACCCAGAGCAGCACGACTTTCTCAAGGCATTTGATGTGGGACTCTGTGTGGAGTGTGAGGCCCTGTTGGAAGATGAATGGAAACATAACTTCGACATCACTAGTGATCACTCGTAATATCTTCATTTTCACCGCATATGTCATCCAACTATTTCTGAATCCTCTGCACTTCCTCAGATTAACACTTGTGACATGTTTGTATTGGAGCTTCCGGCCAGAATGCCAAAGAAGTACAGCATGTCGTTTCAAAATTTCTTCGCTGAGGGAATCGCGTTATGGTGCTCTTTATCTCGCAGACGATGCCCAACTGACCCGTCTATACTGTGCAGACCACAAAAACAAAAACAAACAATGCGCATGCGCGAAATTAAAAATATAAAATGGCGATAATTTAACCATCGCATCTTCTGGATATATATATATATATATATAAGTGGACATTGAAGTCAACACTTAGAGGCGACAGTCTGTTTCATAATCGTCACGCCACGAGTGCTGTTATTTTTCTCGGCTACTTATATATATATATATGGGTTAGTGGTGCATTGTGGGTAGTCTATTTTGGCGGTTATTTTACCGGAAGTCATTTATTTATTTGCGTTAAATTATTTTGCCTGTCATTATCCCATAAATAAAGCAAACATTAAAACTGTATTTCTTTATATATATATATATATTTATGTTTACACATTCTTTTTATAGATGCAAATATTTAAGTAAATGCGCTCCTTATAATGAACAGTATTAAACAGCATTTACCGGCCTGAAAATATTCGTCTTCCGACAGGATTCGAACCTGTATCCTATACGGAACCGTCATTTAGATTGACGTGCTTTTACCGATTTGGCCACAGAGGAGCATTCGGTTAGCCAGGTCGAATTTACTGTATTTAAACTTCAAACTTCCATGAATCTCTCACGTACATTCATATCTGCTCATGGCGTATCAAATGTAAACAAACGACGTCACACATTATGAAATGGACAAAGTCCGACAATTATTTTAAGACTGAAAATAATTGTCGGACATTGTCTATTTCATAATGTGTGACGTCATAGATAGATAGATAGATAGATAGATAGATAGATAATCCGACGTTTTTATTACTTTAAAGTTTTTTAATGGATACCCGTGTTTGGAATAGACGCTCCGTTTTTTTTTAATTTTAAACATTGTGTATTAGGCCTAACCACCTATGCTGTCCAGAAATCGTAATAAAGTATATGCGATCTCCAGCAGGGTTTGAATCTGCGTCTTTCTTTTTCAGTTACCAGATTTTCAAAGTTTTATATTATTAACTAATTTTTTTTTTTTAATATTATTAACTATTATTAACTAATTGAATAACTGTTTAAAATCCAAGAAAAAAAATCTGTTGGAATAAAAATTTAGTTACAGAACGTGCGGAAAAGTTTCCAAGGAGAAATATTTTCATCAACAAACTGGAAAACCACGCTTTGTCAGTATAAACCACGTACCTCAGATTGTTTTCGATCGATTTTCAGTCGATTTAGAATCAGGTGAACAAGCTGGCCATTTCATGAAGCGAATGTCTTTAAAACCTATTTTATTTCGATATGCATCAGTTTTTCTTCGTCGAATGTGAAGAAGTATTGCCTTGCATAAAAATCTCCAACCACTGTCTCACAACTTCCCTCGGTCTTTTATACAAATATTTCCATGGAGATTGTTCTATGCTTTCGTTTTACTGTCGAAATAACGAGATGAAAACTTACGAGCCTCAGCCGAAAAGTTCATAGGCTGACCAATATACACTTATAGAATGTCACCAAATGAGGTTTATTTTTCAACATCATCCCGCTTGAGCTCAGCGCATTTCTTCCATCAGTTTGATTTGGTTTATTTTGTTTTACGGCATATTAACCTCAATGGGTTATATAATGCTGACATGATTATTATTATTGCTGCTAAATTTTTTTTTTCAAAAATGCGTTGCTGGTAATTTTTTTTAATGTATAGCTGGTAATGTTTTTTTCTAAAATGTATATCTAGTAATATTTTTTTTTCCCAAAAATGTATTGCTGGTAATATTTTTTAAATGTATAGTTAGTAATAATTTTTCTTTAAAAATTTATTGCTGGTAATAATCCTACTTATTATAAAACGCAGATTGTGTGTGTGTGTGTGTCTTTAACGTTTATATATTAGATCGGATTTCCTACATTTTTCAACCGATTTCAACAAAACTTCACAGGACTACATAAAATTACCTTGCGGTGGTTCTGACAGCGCCAAAAATGGGAAAAATCCAATTGTTTTTGCACAAAATCAATTTGAAAACACGATTAAGAGACATAGTGTGAATAAAAGGGGGACAACTCACATCGGGTTAAAAACCCAGGTTTTGTGTGTGTGTGTGTGTATTGCTTTATATATGGGATCGGATTTCCTACATTTTTCAGCCGATAAAACAAAAATTCACTTTTTTTTTTTGGCAGGTAGTGTTTCTTATTCTCTTGCACACTTTTTCTTTATTTTTAATATTCAGAATGCTTTAAAACTTCCATTTACAAGACAATTGTTTATAATAAAATTCTATTTAATCGGGAGACTCATAACGATTGAAAACAATGTTTTTGTTTGAGTTTGGGTTTGACCAATTCGTAAAAAAAAATAAAAATAAAGAATAAAAAAATAATTAAGACATGCGTGTCCGTCAACCTTAAATAATAATCTAACGATCTCTACTGATTGTACGAATCCAAACATCGGATAATTCTTTATCTTTAGGGAAAAATAATGAAATCTAAACATACACAAGTCCTCCTAACTAAAAATAATAACCGGAAAATACTTTAAATACACATGGTGTCCAATTTTTTTTACTGTATTCAATAAGTAAAAATCATAAATTGTAAAAGATTATTATTACAGAAAGGCTACTAAATGAATAAGATTTGTTAGATCATAATTAATAAACCCAAATAAAATTAATATTTTTGTATTAGAAACAACGAGTGGAAAATATATTCAAATCAGAATTCTAATTATGAATCACCACAAGCAAAATATGCAATTTTCTTTTTACTGTATTCAATAAGTAAAAATCATAAATTGTAAAACTAAAAGATTACAGTAAGGCTACCTACATTTTTCAACCGATTTCAACAAAACTTCACTTTTTTTGGCATGTAGTGTTTCTTATTGTCTTGCACACATTTTTCTTTATTTTTACATTCAGAATGCGTTTAAAATTCCATTTACAAGACAATTGTTTATAATTGTGACGTCGTCCCCCCTGGTCGCAGCGTCGACTGTGTCGTTCGATCTCGTTCGCGGCGCCAATTGTGACGTGACGTGGTCCGGGGTTCTGATCCTATGATCACGACACCAGTTGTGACGTCTTTGCCGCGGCGTCAGCTGTTCGCTCCTCGCTGCTCCAAGTGTGACGTTCTAACTTTTTGGTTAGATGAATACCAGCCTCGTCATTCCCAACCCGCTTCCAACGCCTGGTTACCAGGGTAACTGCACTGATCTCCGGTCTGCCTACCCACGTTGTGATTAGATCTTAGACAGACGGGATCAAACAGGATTGGGCCGTATGCAAGCTGAGTCCAACGGGGGTGATAAACACACAAGAAAATAAAAACTCACAAGGTCAAAAAATATTGAAGAAAAGGTAACAACTTTTTATATCTATTTGCTCGTTACACAAGATTATTCCTACCTCCCGACCCGTTCTGTGGACCGTGGCACCAAGCTTCTACCATACAACTCTAAGGCTTCGAGTTGCCTGCTCTCTAGAAATTTGCATTTCGGGGTGTGGTTTGGTTTCGACACTGGGCGCTGATCCCTACCTGTCGTTCACGGCTGATCTCTCTCGCCGTCCGTGGCTGCAACTAACTCTCTCTTCAGAGTCTGAATTATTGTTCACTCATCTCAGCCGTCAGTGCGCGAATTAACTTCTTCTCTTCGGCTTCGGGTTGGGCGAATTTCTCTTCTTAGGCCAAACGGACCGGCCTTTCTTTCCCGCAAAGGGGCGAATGAACCGGGCCCGCCGTCCGCGGCGCAACTCTCTCTCGCCGTCCGCGCTGCAACTGATTTCTGTCGGTTGGGGTCCCGCTTTTATTGACGCCGTAAAAAACTGGGGTGGGTCTGTCGGCGCCAGGGTTTTCTTGATAATCCTAAATACGTATTATTTCTGATTAGGGATTTTCCATTTTCGGTAACTTACTTTCCTCCTACTTCCTTATTGTGCCTCTGGGGGGGCGTATACCCGCTTCCCCTGGTCCTTCGTATGTCAGGTGACCGCTCTCGACCAATGGGGTCCTGGTCGGGCATCTTTTCCTCCTCCCTCGCACATCATGTGACCGCTCTCGGCCAATGGGGTCCTGGTCGGTGTCTCTCCTCCTCCCTCATGTATCATGTGACCGCCTTTGGCCAATGAGACTCTGGTCGGTATCTTTCCTCCTTCCTTCGTGACGTCTTTAATCGGGCGTGGACAATCCGTGGCTTTGTTCTGGGGAAGAAACACCTTGCTTAAAAAACAAAAATTTAAATTGTCCTTTTCGTACGTGACCGAAATGACGATCCCGGTTTTTTTTTACACGCGGTATTTGTCAAACATTTTATCGCTAATTGGATACGATCTAAGAAAGGTATCTCCCAGACTGGGTGGCGTTAACGTGAACTAATAAAAATATTTCACTTTTTTTTTTTCTTTCGCTCGGAGCTTGTTAACAAAAAATCTTAATTATCTCAAAAAAATCATTTTCTAATCATCATCTTTGTGGCTGTATTTTCAATTCTGGAATTGTCTGGGTTCTCGTATTAATGGATTGTCTGTATATCCTTAGATAAACTTCCCACCTGTTACCTATCATATTTTTTTCATTGTCTCTAAACTTTATTTCTTCAATCAAATTGATAACAAACTTCCATCCTCCGCGGACACGGAAGTAGGTCAGGTGCTTGACCGACATCTGTTATGTATCAATCGCGCGTGTGCTTATGACCGGGTTTTCGTATTATATTTTTCTTTTTTTCTTTCCTTCCTTTTCTTCTTCTTTTCTTTCTTTCGCCCAGATCGCTTGAATGTAAAGAAAGAATTATTCCTAACCCCGAAATATTTTTCAGCCTCAAATAATTATCAAATGGTTGACAAACCGTAAAAAACAAATCATATATTTATGAATATTTCTTTTCAGCTTTCTACTTATGCATGGTGCCACATAATAAAATTCAATCGGTAGAGACTGAAAACAATATTTTTGTTTGAGTTTGGGTTTGACCAATTCGTAAAAAAAAAACTAATTAAGACATGCGTGTCCGTCAACCTTAAACAATAATCTTTGTCAATTTTATTTTTCAGTCTTTATGATGGTGGATACTTGATCTATCTCTTACTGTTATATCCCCGGGCAACGCCGGGCTCTACTACTAGTTTTTTATAAAGTATCTCTGTTATTAAAACCTATTTTTACATGTTCATGGTGTTTTGACCTCAGTTTGGGGGTTAACTATTTTCCAATATCTGGGACCCTAACAGATGCTACCACCCCGGGTCAGGGTGGACCTGGAAACACCAGCAATTAAGAGGTGGTTCCACGCTCCTCAAAACCTCCTGATGAGAGGCCTTGCTGTTGGACGTAGTTTATCGCTTTACCCTGAACGCGGATGTAGCTTATCATCATACCCAGGGCGGTGGTCTAATGGTTAGCAGTTATTTTTTTTTTCTCGATAAATCAGTTACAACTGAATAGCGAGTTCGATCCTCAGTGCAATCACACGTATCGCAAGCTTTTTTATTTTTATTTTTTATTTTTTGTTCTGGAAATTAAAACGATTTAAAACCACCCTTAGACAATGAAAGCTGTATAGTATTTTTACTAACCTCCAACTAGTATGTCACTGCTATACAAACAAAATCAGACGAGTGATTAATGTAAACAATACGTGGCGTCAGTCTGTGAGGAACGCATGGTGAATGTGTTGTATTAGAATGTTTTTTTCTTCTTAGAAATTTCTTTCCAATATTAGTGTGCGTCTTCCAAGTGTCTACCAAATACGGTATATATTCTGTGTACTTACAAGTGACAGTTAGTCCTTTCTTCTCGCTTTCCTTTACTACTTTATCACAGAGATCTGGATGTATTCTTGCTGTCTGTCATCAACCTGGTGTTGTCTGCCTATCTAATGTTGCTAAGATTGTGCCCACCGGTATTAAATCCTGATAGGATTTCTAGTTTCAGGATTACTTCACTGTAAAGGTTGAATAAGTCCGGCGAGAAGACACATCCTTGTCTTACGCCCTTTCTATTTTTTGTTTATTTATTCAATTAATTTCTAATCCGTGCGCAGGGCATTTGATCCCATTATAAGTTCTCGATTATTCTGATATCTTTTCCAGAATGGAGATAACAAAGACCGTATTTATTTATAAATAGATTAAAAGCCGCTGGTCGACGTTTAAGTTAGCTCCTGAGAAGGGCTCTTGATTTGGCCTTCATCCCAATAGGCATGGAGGGGTAGATGCGATAGGCAACAATAAAATACGGAAGAACTCAAAATTGATCGCTGCATTTAAGTATTGCGTTAATATGTAAGCTTACCGTTTCAAAGTTCAACGATAATTCTTCTGCCAATTTAGAGACAATTTCATCTACGTAGATACTTACTTTCCGTATAAACGATTATCTTTATTTCATGGGGTGGCTTTCGCCGGATTTCGCAGTTAATTTTGAATATTCCCAAATTTATTTTCAAGTTATAAAAAATGTTATCGTACAAACAAATTAGTCTAAAAAAATTACGTAAGTCGCAGTAATGAAGACTTGGGAATCCAAAATTTCAGGATTGCGGGGTCTGGATCCGCGCCGGAATGTTTTTAATTTGCTCACGGGGTCAGCCTGATTCCAAAATGATATCATATGTTGGACTACGCCCTCTAGGAGTAAAATTGAAAACGTGTGACACAGTGACTCACTGACATTAGCATATATCATATAGATAATATTCAAAGCAGGCAGACTCCCTCTCCACATGAGTAATTGTCTAATACTATATCTCCTTAGTCTTTCTTTTCCTTTCTTCTTTCCTTTCCTTCCTTCTGTTTACATTTCGTTCATTCCTTCTTCCAATTCTTCTAATTTCTGTCTCTCTTTCTTTTCACCTCTTTCTTTCCCTTTTTATTCATTCCTTCCTTTCCTTTGTTTTCTTTCTCTATATCTTCTCCCTTTAACCTTTCATTCGATCTTTTGTTTCTTTTCATCTTTCTATCGTTTCTTTTCTTCCTGCCTGCTTTTCCTTGTCTTTCCTCTCACCTAATTTTCATTTTTTTTCCGTTTCCCTCATATTTTTTTCACTTTTTCTGACTAGAGTTATCTCCCTTTTTTCCTCACTTCTCGCTCTTCTTTCATTCTTCTCCGCCTCTTTTCTTTTTTCCATTTAATCTATTTTTCTTCCCTCTCTCACTTTGCGTTCTCCTTCTCAAGTTATTTTCCTTTACTTTTCGTCGTCGTTCTCTTTACCCTTCTTCTTTCTTTTTATACTCTTTTCTTTTCTTTTTTTTCCTTTGCTTCTCGTCTTCGTAAAGTTTTCTTTCCTCACTTTCTTTCTTTTTTCTTCTCGACCGCCATTTTCTTTTTTCTTCAGATAATCTTTCTTTTTTTTTTCCCCTTCCCTCTCTTTTTTCTTTATTCTCATCCTCTGTTCTTTTATACTTTATTTCTCATCTTCGCTCTCTTCTTTTTCTCCCCTCTCTCTTTCTTCTCATCAACTTCTCTTTTACTTCTCGTCTTCGTCCTCTTTTCTTCCCTCCCTGTCTTCCTCCTTATTTTTTTCTTCTTTTGTTTCTTCTTTTGATTCTCGTCATCGTTTCGATTTTTGACTCCCTCCCCCTCTCTCTTTCTCTCTTTCTCTCTTTCTCTCTTTCTTCTCGTTCTCTTTTCTTTCGTCTTATACTTCGTTCTCTTTTCTTCCTTCCCTCCTTTTCTTCTTTCTTCTAGTGCTTTTTTTTCTCTTACTTCTCGTCTTTGTTCTCATTTTCTTTTCTCTCTGTTTCTTCTTTCTCCTTGTCCACTTTTCGTTTTTTTTTTCCGTTCCTTGTGGTCTTCGTTCTCTTTTCTCCCCTCACTCTCTTTCTTTCTTCTCGTCCTTTTTTCTTTTACTTCTCGTCTTCGTTCTCGTTTCTTCATTCTCTCTCTCTCTCTCTCTCTCTCCTTTCTCCTTTCTTCTGTTCATCTTCTTTCGTTTCCCCCCCCTTCTCGTCTTCTCTTCCGCTACTCTCTTTCTTTCGCTCTCTTTCTTCTCGTCCTCTTTCTTTTTTTCTTTTACTTCTCGTCTTCAATCTCTTTTCTTCCCCCACTTTCTCTCTCTCTCTTTTCTTCTTCCTTCTTCTCCTCCTCTTTTCTTTTTTATTTATTTCTCCTTTTTGTTCTCTTTTCTTCTCCCTCTCTCTTCTAGTCCTCTTTTTCATTTACTTCTTATCTTTGTTCTCTTTTCTTGCTTTTCTCTCTCTCTCTTTGTTTCTCCCTCGATCTTCATTCTTCCTGTCCTCTTTTCTTTTTTCTTTCCTTTCATTTTCATTCCCTTTTCTTCCCTCTCTCTCCCTCTCTCTCTCGCCCTTTCTTCTTCTTTTCCTCCCTTTTTTTTTTGCTTTTACATCTCGTCTTCTTTCTCTTTTCTTCCCTTTTTCTTATTCTTTCTTCATTTTTCCTTTTCTTCCCGTCTTCTTTTTCTTCCCTATTTTTTTTCTTCTTTCTTTCCCTTTTTTCTTTTCTTTCATTTCTTCCTAATTCTTTACTTTGTACTTTTCATATTGTCTCTTTACCATTTAATCAGTGAATGTTCAATACAATTTTTTCTCGATTTCTTCTCTTCCACAACGTCTGTCCATCCCCCCCTGCTATTTGGGCTGTCTTAAACTGATTGAAGACGATAACCTTTCTTGCTTCAATTTCAATTTTCCTTCCGTCATCTCTTCATAATTCCCATCTTACCCTTCCACATTCCTTATTGAACGCTCATGTCGCATCGTTAAATAAATTCTGTCGTTATTTTTTGGTTTTAGATTCACAGATAAGACAAACAAGCTGTCGCTTCAGATGGCGTTTGGAAGTCTACAGTCAAATCAGATGAATAGACGAGATAGCCGACATTAAGTTAGATGAACAGTAAGAACTGTGCGAAATCAAAACTTCCGTTGAAGTGGGAAAAGTAAATTGAAAACAATTGATCGTATATTTTCACTCAGAGATTAAACTGGCTTTGAATTTATTGGGTGTCGATAAGTTGGCAGTGAGAAAGAAAAATAAAGAAATAAGGAAGAGGAAAAAGCCATGAGGAACAAGGAAAATAGGTCGATAAAGAAGAAGTTTCTGCGAGGAAAATAGAAGCGATTGAAAAGAATCAGAAACGTAAAAGCGACAACGTGAAGATGAAATGTTGGGTCCGGAATGATAATTCGGATCTAAATTAAAAGAAGAAATGTCAGATATTGAAGGGAATAAAAGAGTGATGGGGTAAAGCAGAGAAGAAAAAAAACCATCATGGCGACGAAAAAAGTAGCAGCAGAAGATAAAAAAAGGAAATGAAATAGAATGCTGGAGAAGAAAAATTTGAAGAATGAAGTGAGTATACGTCGGAGTTTAATGACGGAAAGAAGTGTAGAGGTGACGTAATTTAAAAGTGAGAAATAGTGAATAAATTAGAAAAGAACAAAGACAAATATAAGTATTTGTCTATATTTCTGGGATGAGGTATTGAGTGACAAAGATAAGGTCTAATAATAATGAGAAGAAGAAGAAGAAGAAGAACAACAACAACAACAACAACAACAAAAAGAATAAGAAAAATGGAGGGGATGAAGAGGAAGAATAAAAAGCATAAAAGGAAAAGAAAACAGAAAGAAGACGAAAAGAAGATGAAGAAGTAAAAAGAGAAGAAGGTGAAGAAAAACAATAAGAGGAAGAAGAAGAAAAAAGAAGAAGAAGAAGAAGAAGAAAGAAGAAGAAAGTTGATGAAATATAAAAGAAGAAAAAAGAAAAATAATAAGACGAAGACGAAGAAGAAGAAAAAGAAATAGAAAAGGAAAAGGAAAAAAGGAAGAAGATGACGAAAAGAAGATGAAGAAAATTAGAAGAAGGTGAAGAAGAAGAAATACGAAGAAGAAGAAAAAAGAAGAAGAAAAAACAAGAGGAAAAAGAAAAAAAGAAGAAAGAAAAAGATGAAAGTTGATGAAAAAATAAAAGAAGAAGAAAAAGAAAAATAAGATGAAGAAGAAAAAGAAGCAGAAAAGGAAAAAAGAATAAAGGCAGCAGACGAAAAGAAGAAGATAAATAGAAGAAGGTGAAGAAGAAGAAAAAGAAGAAGAAATACGAAGAAAAAGAAGAAAAAAGAAGAAGAAAAACAATGAAAAACAAAAAAGAAGAAAGAAAAAGACGAAAGTTGATGAAAAATAAAAGAAGAAAAAGAAAAATGAGAAGGTGAAGAAGAAGAAAAAGAAGTAATAAAAGGTGGTAGAATCGAAAGAGGATGACAAACGAAGAAAAAAGAAGAAAATAATAAAGGAAGAAAAAGAAAAAGGAGAAGAGGAAGAAAAAGAAGAAAGAAGAAGAAGTAAAAGATGGTATAATCGAAAGAGGATGACAAAAGAAGAAAAAAGAAGAAAATAATAAAGGAAGAAAAAGAAAAAGGAGAAGAGGAAGAAAAAGAAGAAAGAAGAAGAAGTAAAAGGTGGTATAATCGAAAGAGGATGACAAAAGAAGAAAAAAGAAGAAAATAATAAAGGAAGAAAAAGAAAAAGGAGAAGAGGAAGAAAAAGAAGAAAGAAGAAGAAGTAAAAGGTGGTATAATCGAAAGAGGATGACAAAAAAGAAGAAAAAGAAGAAAATAATAAAGGAAGAAAAAGAAAAGGAGAAGAGGAAGAAAAAAGAAGAAAGAAGAAGAAGTAAAAAGGTGGTATAATCGAAAGAGGATGACAAAAGAAGAAAAAGAAGAAAATAATAAAGGAAGAAAAAAAAAAAGGAGAAGAGGAAGAAAAAAGAAGAAAGAAGAAGAAGTAAAAGGTGGTATAATCGAAAGAGGATGACAAAAGAAGAAAAAAGAAGAAAATAATAAAGGAAGAAAAAGGAGAAGAGGAAGAAAAAGAAGAAAGAAGAAGAAGTAAAAGGTGGTATAATCGAAAGAGGATGACAAAAGAGGAACAAGAACTGCACCAACTGCAGCAGCAGCAACAAACATTTAAATGGCCACTGTCCTAAAAAATAAGCTTGAATAAATTCATCTACGCGATTGAAAAGTAACGGAAGAATTGGTTCGACTGGTCTCAAGAATTCTCTTGAATATATTTATGCTGAAATGAGTCAATCTGTCTCGCAGCCGTAACAAGACCATTTTTTTTCTTTTTGCAGTGATTGTCTACAGAAAATTGGACGCGTCTCTAAACAGCGGTCTCGAACACTCATTCCAAAGCGACTATTAACGTGACAGTGACGTTAAATCAATCATCGTGGGGCCACTCCACGATCGAAAACTATGGTATGTACTAAATATCAGATTAATGCAAAAGCCCCCGACGCTACCTCTCGCAAAATGCTAGGGAAATCTTAGAAGAGTAGTCTGAAATGTCAACTCACCTATTGTGCAATAGGACAACTGTAGAACGTCATTTACAAAACCAGAAGTAGCAGTTGTATTTTTTGTTGTACTAGAATTCATCTAAGATAGAAGGTTAAGAAACAAGGTGCTTGATATTGATGTAAGAGGAATTGAAATGAGAATGGTGGAGACCAGAAGAATGGATATCGATTGACCCTTGACTTGCAAATTGGTTTTAATAATGGTTAGCAGTTTTTTTTCTAGGAAAAAAGTCATCCAATAAAATATCCAAGACTCACATCATTGTCTAGGCCAGTGTTTCCCAACTGATTCTGGTCCATGCCCACTTTAATATTTCTAAAATTCTGATAACCCCCCCAACCTGTAAAATTTAATTCTTAAAATATTCAAAATTCAACTGCAATTCATGTGAAGGAAGCTTAAAAGGCCATTAACTTGGTCTTTAAACAATCCTCCAAAAAACATGGCGTCAATGAAAGAGAAAAACTTAAAAAAACAAAAAGTTAAATATATATAGTTTCAAAACATATAATAGAGGAGTGAAAGGCAGAAATATAAAATATTTGAATGAAAGATTATTTTGTAATATGGATCATTTTAATCATGAAATAATAATGCAAAATGAAATTTGAGCTCATCACAAAATGACTTGTGCGTCATGCCTGCTACAGATAGATTTTATGTTAGACACCAATTTAGTCAGTTTAAGCCTCAAGCCTCAAGCCTCCTCGTTTAGTGATATCCAGTCGATTTCTTTTCTTCAATAACAAATCATTTACAGCACTAAAACCACATTCCGTTAAATATGAAAATGAAAATGGTAACAACAAATTTCTTGCAACGGTGGTTGAATTTGGGTATTTAGTTATTGTCTCATCACAAATCAATGCCATCACTCCTTTTTATATTGAATAAAGTTTTAACAGATTCATCGTTTTGCATCTTCGAAAGCTTGGTACTGCATCAAAACATCAGAAATATCCACTAACATTGGCTGCATCACCCATGTTGGAAAATCAATTTGTTTTAGATCAAAAAGAAAGGATGCACATCCTACGCATGCCACACCAAAATGTTACTCCACGTTGGAATTATTGATCTGGGCTTAATAAATGAGGTCTGTGATATGAATGTAAAAATAGGAATTAGGTAATGAATATGAGAATATGGATGATAGGTAACGATTGGCCCTTGTCTTAAAGAAGTTACAACTGAAGCGCTAGGGGAAATATCCACGCGGGAGTCTGTTCTATAAAGCAGCGTTTCTTTGAAGAAGAAAAAAGAAGCTGTCTGATTGGAAGTTGTTTCTTACAATTACAATACAACACTTATGAATGTGTTTCCACTCCGGGGACGTAGCCTAGAAGGATTAAGCTCTAAAACTCTGAATTGATAGAAATAAAAGACTTGAACGTGTCCGAGCATTTGCCATAGAAAGAACGACAGGCTTGCAACGTTGCGTTTTTGGGAAAAAACGTGGAGGATGGAAACGTCGCAGTTTCCATTGAAGCAAACACGAAGGAGTCTGTTTCACAAAGTGGAAGTTTTCGGAGGAAAAATGGCTTCTTGGGGACAAACGTCTTGTGACAACACGGACGAAAGCGAGAGAGTTTCCGCTCCGCGAAAGGAGCATGGTATTACCCAGCTGTCTATACTGGTGGGGCAAAAAAAAATGTGCCTCATCTGAACAGCTGTGGTGTGTAACAATTGGTTTACAAATAAGAAGCTAAGGAGGAAGTTTAAAGAAATCAGTGAAGTTTGGATTATTTTGTTTTACGATAGATTTTTAGGATAGGTTCGTTATGAATAGAATATGTATTCTTTTTAAGAAATCAGTTTGGTTTGGATTGTTTTGTTTTACGGTATATCAACCTCAATGGGTTATTTAATGCCGACAAGATTTTTAGGATAGTTTCATATGAAGAGAATATGTATTCTTTGTAGGAAATCATTTTGGTTTGGATTGTTTTGTTTTACGGCATATCAACCTCAATGGGTTATTTAATGCCGACAAGATTTTTAGGATAGTTTCATATGAAGAGAATATGTATTCTTTGTAGGAAATCATTTTGGTTTGGATTGTTTTGCTTTACGGTATATCAACCTCACTGGGTTATTTAATGCTGACAAGATTTTTAGGATAGTTTCATATGAAGAGAATATGTATTCTTTGTAGGAAATCATTTTGGTTTGGATTGTTTTGCTTTACGGCATATCAACCTCAATGGGTTATTTAATGCCGACAAGATTTTTAGGATAGGTTCATATGAATAGAATACGTATTCTTTTGTACGAAATCATTTTGGTTTGGATTGTTTTGTTTTACGGCATATAAACCTCAATGGGTTATTTAATGCCGACAAGATTTTTAGGATAGTATCGTATGAATAGAATACGTATTCTTTGTAAGAAATCATTTTGGTTTGTTTTGTTATGTTTTACGGCATATCACTCTCAACATTTTTAGGATAGGTTCCTATAAATAGAAAACTTATTCTTTGTAAGAAATCAGTAGGGTTTGGTTTGTTTTACTGCATATCAATCTCAATGGGTTATTTAATGCCGACAAGAATTTTAAGATAGGTTCGTATGAAAAGAAAACATATTCTTTGTAAGAAATCAGTTTGGTTTGGATTGTTTGTTTTACGGTATATCAACCTCAATGAGTTATTTAATGCCGACAAGATTTTTAGGATAGGTTCGTATGAATAGAATACGCATTCTTTGTAAGAAATCAGTTTGGTTTAGATTGTTTTGTTTTGCAGCATACCAACCTCAGCATTTTTAGAATAGATTCCTATAAATAAAATACGTATTCTTTGTAAGAAATCAGTTTGCTTTGTTTTGTTTTACGGCATACCAACACCTCAATGGGTTATTTAATGCCAACAAGATATTTAAGATAGGTTCGTATGAATAGAATATGAATTCTTTGTAAGAAATCAGTTTGCTTTGGATTGTTTTGTTTTACGTCATATCAACCTTAATGGGTTATTTAATGCCGACAAGATTTTTAGGATAGGTTCGTATGAAAAGAAAACATATTCTTTGTAAGGAATCAATTTGGTTTGCATTGGGTTTTTTTCCGGCATAACAACCTCGATGAGTTTATTTAATGCCGACAAGATTTTTATTGTTAGAAATATTTTTTTCCTCCAAAAATGCATTGCTGGTAATAATTGTTCCTCAAAATTTTGTTGCTGGGATTAAAACTTTTTTTTTTTTTTACACTTTCATAGTGCTTTGACCCCAATTTAGGTGGGTCAACTATTTGTCCATAGCTAGGATCCTAATAGGTGCTACCAGCCAAGGTCAGGTTTTACCTGCGAACACCAGCAATTAAGAGGTGGTTCCCCGTTTCTCAAAACCACCTGAACAGAGGCCTTGCTCTTGAACGTAGTTTACCGCCTTACCCAGGACGCTTTTACAGTTAGTTTGAAACTTAAATGAAATGTCTCTGTTATAAGTACGTTTCGTTCCCTCAAAATACGGGCTTTGTTTTAACTGATTTTACTTCAGCAATCACTTATCTTTTAAAATATGATAATTTTATCGATATTTCATAAGGTCCGTGTGACGGGCACTTTTCGATAATTTTATTTTTATCTTGATAGTTCTAAATAAATGCCTTCAAAATTTGATTTGGCAAGTTCAAAATGCTTTAGTAAGATGTTGTTGCAGATCTGAATCAACCCAGAACTAAGCAGAAAGCGAAAACAGTGTTTAAATATGAAAATATGAAAATATTTTTATTTTCGTGTTTTTTATTACAACCAAATTTTTCTTAGACTGTATGAGTGTTAAATTACTTGTTGTTATTTTTTTTGTTAAAATGAAAAAAATGTGTTTACTTCGCGTGTGTGTTGTGAGAAAGAAGTGGCAGGGCAGAAAGTGAGAAGGAAAGTGTAAGTGTCACGTAGCTTGGTGAGGAAGATGGGTGAATAAATATTATAGTGGAACACACCTATTCTATAGTTAATAAACTCTCCCACCTATGATAAGTAGGAGTAGTAAGAGTAACAAGGGAGTCGCGTAGTCGCTCAGTTAGTTGGTCAGTCAGTCGATGCCGGACGACCGTTAATCGAATACTAAAGTATCAGCGACCACGACTAGATTACTCTGCGTCATTACCTATTATATCAAGTTCCTAACGTTTTGTACGTCGAACCTATTTTAGGACCGACTTAGTACAAATACAAGCCTCCACTGTGAAACTACTCCACAACAATAAATAAGGGAATTTCCTTTAAACCGACGCGTCGTGAGGCTTTTGCCATTTTTTGCGCGTTCCTTACTGCTTTGTCTGGTCTAGAAACTTTGCTTATATATCCTTCAAGTGGATCACGAAGCATGTTTTTATTCTTGGTAAGAAGTCGACCGATTGGTTAAAAAATGTTAAATATTTGTTTTCAAAGCATTATTTATTAACCGGGAAGATGTTCAATCCACCAACTCAAAAACCTTTTTTATATCATTTGGTGTTTGACTAAATTGGTGTTTATTTCTGTCTTCCTTCCTTTGTTTAATCAAAGATTGATTTTTCTATAGACTTCTTTTAACATTTCTGGCACGAGATATAACTTTAATATTATTTTTTCTT